AAAAAAAAAAAAAAGAAAAGAAAAGAAAAATCCAGAATAGGCAAATCCTTAGAGACAGAAAGCACATTAATGGTTTCCAATTCTTTTGGGTATCCAACTATACTGTAGTGGGATTCACTGGAGGTCATGTCCATTTATTAATACAGGCTCCTAGAAGGAAAAATTTAAAATAGCCAGCTATCCATGTCAACTGATTAATCTTGGAATCTCTGGCTGGGCTGGTGCATGGATCAAAAGTTAACATGAGGGCCAGGTGTGGTGGCTTATGCCTGTAATCTTAGCATGCTGGGGGGCTGAGGTGGGAGGATCACTTGAGGTTAGTTCAAGACCAGCCTGTGCAAGAGTGAGAGCCCCCCCCCCAAGTCTACAAAAGATAGAAAAATTAGCCAGTGTGGTGACACAGCTTATAGTTCCCACTACTAAGGTTGAGGCAGGAGTATTGCTTGACCCCAGGAGTTTGAGGTTTCTGGGAGCTAGGCTGATGGCACAGCACTCTAGGTCAGGAAACAGAGTGAGAGTTTGTATAAAAGAAAATAAGTTGGCATGGGATATAATTATGGTTTGAGGAGAAATGACTAGCAGGGAAAAGTCTGGGTGGGAAGTCAGGATAAGTTGGAGAGGTTAGAGAGAATTGATTTAGGAATTGAGGACTGGGGTGAGTTCAAGGTTGGGCATTAGGAAGTGAACAAGTAAATTGAAAATGAATTGGAGATTGGTGGTTTGTGGTGTGTTGCATGAGTTTGTAGTTGTTGATTAAGGATGGCATCAGTTGAGTTGGAGGTTGTGGTGTGGGTGTGCTGAGTCGAATTGACTGTTGGGTTGAATTACATTAGGGTTGATTTGAGAACTGGGATGGACTGAGTAGGAGTAAATGTGAGTTGCTATGAACAGGGGGTGAGAATTAGTATTTTGATGAGTCAAGATGGGATCAGTTAAAAGGAAAGTTTGGTTTGGAGTGATTTGAATTGGAGGTTAGATGTTAGATTGAGGTTTTTTTGTCTTTTTTTTTTTTAAGAGTTGTTTATATATATTTTTTGAGACAGAGTCTCACTATGTCACCCTTTGTAGCGTGCTGTAGCGTCATAGCTCATAGCAACCTTAAACTCTTGGGCTCAAGTGATTCTCAGCCTCCCAAGTAGCTGGGACTATAGCTGCCTGCCACAACACCTGGCTATTTTTGTTGCAGTTGTAATCATTGTTGGTTAGCTGGCCCTGGCCAGGTTCAAACACACCAACTTTGGTATATGTGGCTGGCGCTGTAACCACTGTGCTATGGGTGCTGAGCCGGTTTTTTGTCTTTTAACAGATTTATTGAGATATAATTCACATACCCTATAATTCACCTATTTAAAAGTGTGTAATTAAATGGTTTTTAATAAATTCATAGACTTGTATAATCATTATCACAATCAACCTTAGAATATTTTCATCACCCCCAAAAGAAGTCTCCTATCCATCAGCAGTCATCCTTCATACCTTCTCAACTTCCCAGCTGTAGGAAGCTTCCAGTTTGCTTTCTGTCTCTAAGGATTTGCCTATTCTGGATATTTTATATAGGTGGAATCAGACACTCTGTGGCCCTTTGTGTCTGGCATCTTTCACTCGGCACGACGGTTTGCAGGTTCTTGATGAGTGCTTCTTTCCTGTTATCAAACGCTCTTCCACTGAAGGCCACATTTTTTTTTCTTTAGACAGAGCCTCAATCTGTGTCCCTGGATAGAGTGCTGTGGCATCACAGCTCACAGCAACCTCCAACTCCTGGGCTTAAGTGATTCTCTTGCCTCAGTCTCCCAAGTAGCTGGGACTATAGGCGCCCACCACAACGCCAGGCTATTTTTTGGTTGTAGATGTCCTTGTTGTTTGGTGAACTTGGGCTGGATTCAAACCTGCCAGCTCTGGTTTATGTGGCTGGTGCCTTAGTTGCTTGAGCTGCAGGCACCGAGCCTGAAGGCCACCTTTTTTTTGTTGTTGCAGTTTGGTCAGGGCCAGGTTTGAACCCACCACCCTCAGTATATGGGGCCAGCGCGCTACTCACTGAGCCACAGGCACCTCCCATGCCACATTTTGCTTATCCATCCATCAGCTAATGCATTGTTGAGTTGAGTTTAATTGAGAGTGATGGAGGACTGGTATGAGGTGAGTTAGGTCAGGTGGGATTGGGTAGGTAGAGGTTGCCAGTTGGGGTGAGTTTCCTTCCAAAAACCCAGGGTTTGCTTGCCCTAATATTCCTGTCACAGAGCCCTGTAAGGCCACCTGTATACTTGTCCTGGGTTTCCTCATTCATTCAGTGTTGCTAAGGGTCTTGACCCTATGAAGAGTGTTGGTGCTCACTGGGTGATTGATTAGTTTATTTACTCATTCATTCATTCAATTTTCTTGAATTCTTGAATTCTGTTTCTAGATGCTGGGGATAGAAGAAAGATGGGGTCTGCCCTCATGCTCTTATTCCTAATGGAAACAGAGTCTAATTAATTAAGACAGGTAGCAATAGGTGCCTCAGATGACACAAGAGCCAGTTCCTAAGACAGATATGACCAGTACCAGATGAAAGACAGAGACCTACACAGTTTGACAGTTTATTCTCAAACTTGAGATGCCAATTTTGCCCTATGGCCTGGGGGTGGGAATAGTTGTGCTGTAATCTCTCTCATCCTATCCCAGCCTTCCCTAAGGAGGAAGCAGATTAAATATACAACAGAGAGGATTTTTCCCTTTTAATACAGACCCAGGTATAAATAGAGCAGGCAGCACCATTAGGATCCTGAATTACCCCCACCACCTTGGTCCCCAAACCACCTGGCATGGCAAGATGGGCTTGGAGAAATAGGGGGGCAGGGAGAGGAATACATAGAGCTGGGCTGAGGCAGCGGGAGGAACACATAGCTCCGTCAAGGGAAGTCCCATTTCCCTCCGTCATCTGACTTGAGTTCCTTCACTGTGAACCCACCTGGGAGTAGCAAGCAGTGAAGGAGTCTCAGCCTGGGGCCAGCAGACATCCAGTGCTTAACTCTGGGGAGGGGCAGCACCAAAGGGTGTGGGAGGCACTGACTAAAGAGTAGGGAGGCAGATACTGGGGTGGGGGTTGTTCATCAGCTCACTGCATGGTGTCCAGGGGTAAGGAGTGAGGGTTGAGGGGTGGATTGAGGGGGAAAAGCCAGACTGTAGTATGCCACTTGGAGTGGGGTGGGAGGAGGCTGCACCCTTTGACCAGTGGAGCTCAGCCCCCAGCCCCCTGGAAGGAAGAAGGAACACTGTTTGACCTTGATGAGCAGTCACATCCCTGGCTTCAGAGTCACAGAAAATGATAAATATGATGGCTTCAAAGCCTCAGCACCAAATGTGCCCCTCTGGGGGCGCCTTATTGTCCTCCCACCCCAAAGACTCTCAGCTGCTAAAGCAGATGGGGCCCAGTTCAAACCCAAACTTCTGGTTCGTCTGGCCAAAGTCAGTGGCTGCCACATCCCACAGGGGCAAAAAGCCTGCTCGAGAAGAGCTGAATTCCAAGAGGGTCTTTGCCTGTCCCTTCCGGAGCTGACCATGGAGAAGATGGGGATAGTGAGTTGTAGAGGGAGCGGACTGAGGCCTTGCCTCCCCTCCCTGGCCAGCCCTTAGTCCCCTTACCCGGCAGCCATCCTGAGGAACACTGATGGTGGCCGCTGCTGTCTGGTTGAAAGACAGCTCCTCCCCATTGGTACCGAGGAAGCGGAGGGAGCGGCTGTGGTCACCTGCAGCTTCGTCCAGCCAGGCGACTGAGTTCTGGCAGGAGTAAGTGAAACGCTGGCGAGCCATGGCGCTCAGCAATTTCAGGAAGTTCAGCTGCACCACATTCACTGGGGACCCGTCGGCATCCACATAGGAGAACTGAATGTGGGGCAGATCATGGGTGAGGGTGCTCTTGAGCTCCTGTCCTGTCTGCAGAACCCCCCTCCCAGAATCTCCATCCGCCCACTTGGGAGGCTGGGGCAAGAGAATCACCTAAGCCCAAGAGCTGGAGGTTGCTGTGAGCTGTGATGCTAGGGCACTCTATATTTTAATCACTTCATCCACCAAATCCCAGATTTTAACATGCTCAGCTCCACCCAGAATTCACAACTCTACTTCTACTCTACAGAGCCAACATCTGCTCTGTCCAATATGGCAGCCACATGTCCAAGAGCATATGGTTTTCGTGCACTTAAAATATGGCCAATTCCACAGAAGGATTATTTCTTATTTACTTGTTTAATTTTTATTTATTTACTTTTTTTAAGAGATAGAGTCTCGGCTCTGTGCCTGTGGCTCAAGCGGCTAAGGCGCTAGCCACATACACCTAAGGTGGCGGGTTCGAATCCCCAGCCCGGGCCCACCAAACAACAATGATGGCTGCAACCAAAAAAT